GAGGTACTGGGGGGATACTGGTCCATACTGGGGGATACTGGGAGGGTCCCGTACCTTCGGGGGGCAGCCCCAGCATGCAGTAGGGGGCGCTGCGGCAGATCACTGGGGGGATACTGGGAGATACTGGGAGGTACTGGGAGGTACTAGCAGGTAATGGGGGGATACTGGTCCATACTGGGGGATACTGGGAGGTACTGGGGGGATACTGGTCCATACTGGGCCATACTGGGAGGGTGCGGTACCTTCGGGAGGCAGCCCCAGCATGCAGTAGGGGGCGCTGCGGCAGATCACCTCCTGCATGATGATCCCGACGCCGTAAACGTCCCCCCGGAAGGAGCCCCGGCGCTCCAGCGCCGCGTCCCGCAGCAGCTCCGGCGCCGTCCACAGCCGCTCTGGGGGGGTGGAGACATGCCCGTGGGACACGCCCACCCCGCCGGGACACGCCCACCCCGCCGGGACACGCCCACCCCGCCGGGACACGCCCACTGCCCCTCAAACCACGCCTCGCCCTCCATATGAGCATACTGGTCATGAGGGTGTAGCCACGCCCCCTGGATGGTCAGGACACGCCCATTGTCAGCAGGACACGCCCATTGTCAGCAGGACACGCCCACACCACCAGGACACGCCCACTGGCCCTCAAACCACGCCTCCCCCTCCATAGGAGCATAGTAGCCATGAGGGTGTGGCCATGCCCCCTGGGTGGTCAGGACACGCCCACCACTCAGAGACACGCCCATCGCCACCAGGACACGCCCACCGCCATCAGGACACGCCCACTGGCCCTCAAACCACGCCTCGCCCTCCATAGCAGCATACTAGCCATGAGGGTGTGGCCACGCCCCCTGGATGGTCAGGACATGCCCATTGTGCCAGGACACGCCCATCACCTCCAGGACATGCCCTTAGAGGGCGTGGCCCGATTGCAAGCCCCGCCCTGTCCCCACATCCCAAGGCCCTGCCCCTAATTGTACAGGCCACGCCCCTAATCCATAGGCCACACCCAAATCCAGAAGCCACGCCCACATCCTAAAGGCCACGCCCGTAGACCTAATGGCCACACCTCTAATCAAAAGGCCACACCCCTCCCACAGGCCACACCCCTTGTTCCACAGGCCACACCCCAATCCCACAGGCCACACCCCTAATCCCACAGGCCACACCCCTAATGAAAAGGCCACACCTCTAATCCCACAGGCCACCCCCCTAGTTCCACAGGCCACACCCCCGCACAGGCCACACCCCTAGTCCCACAGGCCACACCCCTCCCACAGGCCACACCCCTCCCACTGCCTCCCACCCAATCATCCACAAAGCCCCTCCCCCTCTCCTCGGATAAGCCCCACCCCTTCCCCTTAACCCCGCCCTCAGAGCCCCCACCACAGACCCTCCCACTGGCCCCGCCCACACCCAAACCAGCCTCCCCCCTCCCTCTTTTTCCAGAAGGATCTGAGCCCCTGGCCACGCCCCCCCGAGGCCACGCCCACCATGCCACGCCCCCTTGAGGCCCCGCCCTCACCCTCGGGCTGCAGGGGGGGCACGGGCACGCGCTGGGCGTCCAGCAGTTGGTTGTAGCCGTAGTCGGTGACCTTGAGCACGAAGCGCCCGTCGACGACGCAGTTCCGAGACTTGAGGCGCCCGTGGACGACGTTGCGGTGGTGGAGGTACCGCACGCCCTGGGGGGGACACGGGGGGGGGTCACGGGCACCAGAGTGGGCACCGTGGTCGGCGAGGTGGCCGACGAGTAGTGGGGTGGTCAACAATGGCATGGACAACATCTCCATGGTCAACAATATGGCCAACGATCAATGGTGTGGTCAACAAGGGCGTGGTCAACAATGGCATGGACAACAATGTCATGGCCACCGAACAACTCCATGGTCAACATCTCCATGGCCACCAAACAACTCATTGGTCAACGTCTCCATG